ATTTTGATCGGTTTCCGAGGGCTCTTTTCTCGAACGGTCGGTGCGATACCTGTTCTTTTCTTTCTATCATTTTGTTTTCTTGTTCCGCGTGGTTTGTACCCTATTTTTGTTTTGTTTCCCCGCGGCGTCGTATGTGCCGGGTTTTGAGACCACGGGCTCCCCATTTTTCGTGGACTATAGAGCTTATGTGAGAAACAACAACAACAAACAACAACAGCAACAACAACAACAACAATTGCCGCAATAGTTCTGTGTTCTACTTTATTCCACAGGTCTAATGGGTAGAACCAGCTAGTATCAGATAGCTCCCGATCGAGGCTCCGCTTTTGTTGCGAGAAAGGGAAATACTGCTCCTGAGAGGTATTCTAGCCCTCTCACGCAGCGATGCACACATACTGATCTCTCTTTGTGCAATAGAACGACTGCACCGAGTGCGATGAGTAGTGAAGATGCTCGTACCCGCTGTAGTGGCAGGTGTAGTGTCGGAGCAAACGCCTCCTTATGAATGTTTTGGTCTGATCCTTTTAGGGTAAGCTCCGGATGGTAGCTTGGTTGTGAGCAGAGGAGGGCGAGTCCAGACATCTCTTGCAGAGGCTCCGCTGAATGCGGCCAACTACCTCTGTGGGGGCGTTCTTGCGGAACAATGAATACCCCGAACCGTAACATCCCCCCTATTATATTATCAACTCAGAATATACTTACGCCTCATCCGGTACTTTTAACCAGAGAAATGGTAAAACTGCGAGGTTCGCCATGAACCGATATGCCTCGAAAGGGAACTATCCACCCGATACTTCAGGCCGCCATCTCTTCTCTCTCTTTTCTCTGAGGGACAAACTTTCGACGAAACCCTCTCGTGAAATGATTGGCATGGAGAGCGATCTCCGTGCCAGTGGAATAGACCGACATACCGCCACTGGCTATAATAAGTGTTATCACAATCATGACAGCGATTGCGACCAAGTCCTACAGGACCTAACAAGTCCACGCATGCGCGCTTACACACAATGGACGCACCAATCAAACATCGACTCGGTACCGCCTTCCGAGCAGGAGCAAAGACGTAGGCTCAAAAAGGTGAACCCCATCCCCACGACTGAACCTCAAGAAACCTTATCCTCCGATAGCACCGAATGCACCAGACACCCAGACTTCACCATCTAATCACCAACACCAGAAAACTGCTTCCCCCCACCATGACATCAACGATGCGAAAAAGCATATACCAAGGACGGGAAAACTGCTTCTCCCCACCATGACATCAACGCAACAAATGAGTCCTGGGGTGCGACGAAGAGGCCTCCATAGAAGACAACGTTCTAGCTCTTGCCGCGCCATGTCCTCCAGTTCTGGTTGCTGCCGCGCACCTGTCAGTAACGGTTTCGACAACTCCTGTCCCTGAAGCTTCAGCCTTCTGCTTTCGTCTTCGGAAGGTGAAACCCAAAGAGAGATACTCCGAGTTTCACTGGCGGACGACGGCACACGCGGTGGTGCGGTGAGTGTGCCGGGAAGCTGATACGTGGTGTGGCGAGTACGCTGGGAAGCTAGTTCCGGGTAGGTCAGATGTCACGGCGCAATGTAGGCATCCAATCGCCACTCTACACCAGTTCGGGGGATAGCTTTTCACTCCCACACCAAAGAGTCAAAACATGAATGCACTCGGCGACAATCTGGTAGAGAGGCGAATATTGCCTGTTCGGTCCATTCTATTGATATGGTCGATGCGAAATCACGCAACAAACATTTAACGCCGTGACGGTTGTACGGCTTTCGGCATGAGGAATAAGTGGTCTTGATGGAGGAAGACGCAAACACCGTATATGACACGAGATAACACACCTCCTGGACCAATTTTCAAAGCTCGATTACTCCACGACGAAGAAGATGCATTAACGAAACGATACATTTTTGGAAAGCTCTCGACGAGACAGTTCCAACGCCACCGTTTTCGGCGACGTGACTCTTTCTGTTGTTGAGAAACCGAGATTTGAAAATCGGTCCAGGGGGTGTGTTATCTTGTGTCATATACGGTACTTGATATCTACAGCAAACTGGTCACTTATTAGCACGCCTCATTTTCTTGGGTACTTCGCTTCGTGTGACGGTTTCTGTTGTTGCTGATCTCTCGCACCAAGGCTTAACTGCTGTTCCCTGTCCAACGAGACTAATCATACCCTCCCCCACTCGGAAGGCCCCCCCCGGTGTTTGCCATCGGGGTTGGGTTTTCGTCGCTTGGCAACGACGTTGTAAAACAAGCNCCCTTGCTGAAGACATCCAGAGGGTGTTTACAGCAAGACATGGTAAGCCCGCGACGTACTTCGAACGTAGGAGAAACTAACGTAGGAGAAACTCCCGCCTATGCAATGGCGTGGAGTACCCGATACACTCACATCTACTGGAAAACAACTGAATGATAGCATGCCATTTTCGCGGGATGAAAAACGGACTACTCGTGCCACATGATTGGACACACACGCGCAGTGCGTGGGAGGGTACTCGAGCAAATAAACGGTAAGCAGCGGGCAAGCGCATGGGTTGTGTCAGTACGCTGGTCACCCACAATGTGCGCGCTCATTGAATATTCGCAGAGACACAGACACAGCAAACACCGGAAGAAACGTGAAAGGGAAGGTGCTAGTGCTAGAGTTAGCCGGTTGTGTCAGTAAGCTGGTCACACACAATGTGCGCGCTCATTGAATATTCGCAGAGACACAGACACAGCAAACACCGGAAGAAACGTGAAAGGGAAGGTGCTAGTGCTAGAGTTAGCCGGTTGTGTCAGTAAGCTGGTCACACACAATGTGCGCGCTCATTGAATATTCGCAGAGACACAGACACAGCAAACACCGGAAGAAACGTGAAAGGGAAGGTGCTAGTGCTAGAGTTAGCCGGTTGTGTCAGTAAGCTGGTCACACACAATGTGCGCGCTCATTGAATATTCGCAGCGACACAGACACAGCAGACACCGGAAGAAGCGTGAGAGGGAAGTTGTTGGTGATAAGAGTCGGTTGATCAAACTGAACCTGCGCTCTTGAACATTCGTCGGTGTGTGAACCTTGTGCTTGCGAGCATNAAAGAAACGTGAGAGTGAAGTTGGTAGTGTAGGCGGTTGTGTCAATATGCTGGTCACGCACAATGTGCGCGCTCATTGAATACTCGCAGCGACACAGACACAGCAGACACCGGAAGAAGCGTGAGAGGGAAGTTGTTGGTGATAAGAGTCGGTTGATCAAACTGAACCTGCGCTCTTGAACATTCGTCGGTGTGTGAACCTTGTGCTTGCGAGCATGGGGTGGTTGCGAGGCGGCCGAATCGGAAGCGAGAGTGATGGAATAGTTCCTGGGGCATAAAGCGCGTGGGAAATTCGACCGGCGTTTCAAACCGACCTCACGGTCTAGCAGCTGCCCCCGCGAGAGATCTCTTTTGGATCTCCGTTGGCACAACAAGCGCTGCTAATGCGTACGGGGGCCGTGCCGGATAATACCCTCGGCCTTCGGTAGTGCCTGGGTGGTACGACATGCCCTCAGAAACCCGTGCTCCTGGCCGCGGCACCTCCCCCCTTGCGGAAAGCAGTAGTCCGCGGTCCCCGGGAAACTGTGCTGCGACGGTACACGCGATATCCCCTCTTGCCGAAACCAACCAACCGCGGTTGTCTCTTTTGTTGTAATGCAATGCGTGTACACTCGGCGGTCGACGAAAATAAACGGGGGACAGGGAACGGGCAGAGCTCACGGTAAAAACGCGTGAGGGTTGGGGTTGGTCGGTGAGGTAGTTGTTCGGCGATGAGTGCAAACAAAAACAGTGCGTGTGGTAATAACCCACGACGAAACAAAGGAAAGTGCGGAGCGGCAACCTGAGCATGCACAGGTGACGGGCAACGGACGATAACCGCGAATAGTAACGCGGGGTCTGGGTTAGGATTAGAATCGTACGTTAAACGTGTGACGCAGGCCGCGCCAACCCACCGGTAACGCACATACGATTGGGAGCGCCAGGACCGGTGCGGATTCGCGTGTGGTACTCAGGGTGTAATGTGCTTAGGGCGAGACAGGTAAGGATCACGAAAAGGAGTTGCTAGCCACCGACGATGAAACACCGAAGACTGGCGGAGCCACGCTGTTAGCGGGACCCCACCGGCGTGGAGCACGGGTGGAAAGAAAACAAAAAAATTGAACATCACGACGTGAGACGTGCGTTTCCTCCCAAAGCGTCGAAAGGAACACTCAATGTACCCAGTGGCTCTGGCCAATAGTCGCAAGAGCGGGCAAATCGGGTTCGGGCCAATGAAGTAATCAATAATTAGTGACAATGGTAGTCTGACTCTTTGTAGTTCATGTCATGTGTGGATTACATCGAGAATATTGGCCACCATGCATTTGGGGGTCGACATCAGAAGCTTGGGCTTGCAGCTCTCAACCTCATAACTCAGAACCCCCCTATTTATCCACACTGTAACCTGAGCTGCACCCTTCTGTAGATCCTCCCGAACCTTACCCCAAAGGGTATCCTCCTGCTGGCGTCAAACGAGTAAATCCGGGCCCTTCGGCACGCATAGCGCCCGGTGGACCGCTCGCCGTGGACCCTCTCTCGGGGTGGGCCGGCTTCGATCGAAAGTAGCAGACGCACAGCAGCGACGNATAACTCAGAACTCCCCTATTTATCCACACTGTAACCTGAGCTGCACCCTTCTGTAGATCCTCCCGAACCTTACCCCAAAGGGTATCCTCCTGCTGGCGTCAAACGAGTAAATCCGGGCCCTTCGGCACGCATAGCGCCCGGTGGACCGCTCGCCGTGGACCCTCTCTCGGGGTGGGCCGGCTTCGATCGAAAGTAGCAGACGCACAGCAGCGACGTTCGTACGCTCAGCAGCGCCCCGGCCGACGCAAGGCGCACCGGATTCACAAGACGCAACCGCGAACAACCGGCAGCGATGGCGTACAGATAAAATGCGCTCACAGCGATTAGATAAAGGAAGACAAAAAAATATGTATAAAAAACGATAAATAGGGCCTAGAAGGGCGCACTCACCAAGTGCATCGCAAAACCACAAAACAACGCGCGGCGGGGCGCACATACCAGGCGCACAGCTAACCAAGTGCCAAGAATATAGAGCGACAAAGGGAAACAAACGGTTAAAGGAGTTAAAAGATGAAAAAAAAACGCCCTGTGCGCGGCGTACGAGTTGCGCCGTACGCACTCAGCGTACTTCAGAAACGCGTGAAGAGCGACAAAGAGCACTCAAGAGCACAGAAGGAAAGCCAACGTGTCGCGAAAGGCGCAGAAACTGTAACAGCAGCTTGCAGCGAAAGGTGCAACCGGGTCCGAGGGGAAGTTAACACAAAGCGACCGACGCACAAGGCGCCACCTGGTCAGAGGCAAATACAGGAGGCAATCCAAGGAGCAAAAGGAAGACAGCAGAGCGACGAGCGGCGCAGAGAACAGCGGAAAGGAAGGTTAACACATCGCGATCGGCGCACAAAACGCAACCAGCTCAGGTCAACAGGGCTCGAAAAGGCAGCACAGGAAGCAAAAAGGAAGATCAGGTACGAGAGAGAGAGAGGACAAAAACGGAACGTCGTACTTGTTAATTTTGGCATATGAGCGAGAATAGTGTAGCGACAACATGCAGACGTGGCGCATGTAAAGCAAAAAGAAAGGTGAAATGTTGCTACAAGACGCAGCTGACCAACGTACAAAAATATGAAGCCCAACAAACGGTTAGTAGAAATATGTGCAGAGCAGCAGGGGACAGCTTATTGCTCTCATCCTGGTCGTGCATCATTTGCAATGGTCGCGAACTGGAGGAAGAAATGGCGACGGACAAAGGACGAAGCCGGAGGAAATAACACAAGGTCTGGGTATGGATCAGACGGTCACAACAACGGGATACGCGTACCGCAACCGATCACTCACTGGGCACACCTACAACAAATAGATGAGACAGGTCAAAAGTAAAACAAAGAAGGTGGGGTACACAAACAAAATTGAAGTACAAGAGAAGAAAATAAAATACGGAAAAAAAATAGGAAAGGAGAAAAAAATAGTGATAAAAGAAGAAAAAAAGAAAGGAGGAGAGGGAAAAAAAGGTAATCAATAAAGAAGAGAAGAAAAAAACAGTACATGGAGAACAGAATGTCGAGGAAAACTGTTACAACGTAGTCAGGCACAGTTTACCATAGGTGCGACTGCGGCAACTAGCCTTCCGTAGACATAATACAGAAAGAAGAGATGGTACTCAGCAGAGAACATGAGCACAGAGTTGTAGCGGAGATAATTTGGCAGGCGAGACTGTAGTTGTTTTATTGTTCCGAACCCCGAAATTCCGGTACTCGGGCCATTACTCCGGAGACCCTCGGAACCTGCTGTGTTTTTGCTGCTTGTTTCTTGTTTTTGTTTTGTTGTTGAGATGAGACACAAGCGCGCCTTCGCCCCTTGTGCTCACTCTCATCTAGCACCCATCAAAGCCTGACCAGGGAGTCAGTTGATAAG